GGGGGGATATACATGACTGTGGCAATGTGGGTCAACTTTTGGCTCATTGTTCAGAAAATGGGTGGCCAAAACGAATGATTTTCAGCTATTGCAGGTGGCCACCTTTACACAAACTGCAGACAGACAAAAAAAAAATTTCCTCGTAGATTTTAATGTATTTTATAAAATTGTTTAACACTTTGCCACCTCATCTCTCCCGATTGGCGATGTTTACCACCCAGTTTCTTTGGATTTTCCCCAAAATATGATGGCAAAGTGTTAATGAACATGGCTGGATACAAAGTGCAAAAAATTAGTCCTTTATGTTTTACCATAAGATTTCTATATATTTTAAACTTTAAATAGTTTTTTAAATTTTATAGTTTTTCTGAAATATTGCCTTGGTTTATCAACACTCACATGATCTATTTGAGTTGCAAATGCCGTAAAAATTCCTGCTAAACTAAAGCTCAGTTTCATTTTCTTGTTTCAGATATGTCCATGCCATCTACTTGGGCTTCAAGTCTCGCCTGTCAAAGAAAGTTGTCCACACACAGCGTGCCCTGACGGCCCAGAGTGACGTCAGCATTCTTCGTCTGTTCGAGTCGTTTCTGGAATCGGCGCCACAGCTGGTCCTACAGCTCTACATCATGGTGACGCTGCACAGGCTCGCCTGGTTCACTGGTACAACTTTGGCTCGCCTTTTCTCTCCCTTTCTTTTTTTCTTCTCATTTTTATACCTTTTTTTTGTTTGTTTTGTGTTTTGTTTTGTTTTTTATTTTCTATGTACATGATTTTTATGCCCCCCATTGATGTGATTTGATCATTCAGGAGGCAGGCTTCCGACCTTGCCTGTCAGGGCCAACCTGGGCTGATAGGCCACCATACCCATCTGTGATAAATTACCCCTCGAACTTCTTCTTAACATCATTCCTGGTGAAGAGCTTGTAACAATGTAGTGCTGTTGAATGGCTTACAATAAACCGCAGATATCAGTTCATTCAAAAATATTGTTTGGATTGTTATTTTTTGATGGTATATGCTATTTTACAAAAAACAAATGTTGTGCTGAAGATTTGTTTGAACAATATGAAGTTTGATTGGTTAAGAAAAGTTTTCTTAAATGACCATTATTGTAATCTCTCTTCCCTCATGCTGTACTTCACCTGTTCCCCTCTATCTCCCCCCTCCGCGTGTCTAGGCCTGTCTGCTGTGTGCTCCCTGCTCTCCCTCACCTGGGCTATGACAGCGTACACAGACGCTCAGCGGCGAGCGCACAAATCTGTCTACGAGAGACGTCCGGCCCGCCTGGCGCTACACTGGGCCTGGCAACTCTTCATGACCTGGTCGCGCATCGCAGCGTTTGTCGCCTTCACAGCCGCCCTCAATTACTGGGTGCTGGTGGTCATGGGTGAGTTCACAGTACAAGATACAACAGTAGCAGACCTGATTAATTTTGGGGGGGTTTTCGTTTTGTTGGGTTTTTTAACGTATGACATTTCGTTCAAACATTTTGGCGAGCAACAAATTTTTTAAGCACATTTTCAAAAAAATCACTTCTAAAAAACTATAAAAGATATTGCCTTTCTGTTTTTTGTGTCATATTGGGCATGTTTAGATCTGTTATGTGTGTAAAAATGGTGGTTGTATGTCTTTGGGAAGGGTGTTGTTTGAAATATTGAAATACCACCAAAAACACCAGTCTTTAGCGTATGTAGACCCGAAAAAGGCCCAGTCTCCAGTTAAGCAGAGACTACTCTATCATCATAATTAGCTTCCCTAACATGACTTGTTGTCAATTTCAGTATTCATAACCACTCTCTCTTGGGGTGACAATTTCAAAACACACAGTGTAGATATTCTTCCTCCATTCAGCCCCAATTTATACTGGAACAAAACGGAAAGTATTATAATACAGTCTTTACATTATGCTGTATTTGTTTTCGCTGTGTCACCATTCTCCATTCCTCTCCCCACACCCCCAGGCTCCCATAGCCTGATGACTTATGTTTACTGTGTCCCATTCTTCTTCCATCTCATAATCTGATGTCGGACTTATGATTATGCCTGATGTTCGACGTATGTTTACTGTGTCCCATTCTTCTTCCATCCCATAACCTGATGTTTACTGTATCCCATTCTTCTTCCATCCCATAATCTGATGTTGGATGTATGTTTACGGTGTCCAATTCTTCTTCCATCCTGTAACCTGAGTTTGTGGTTGGCGGGTGTTCTGGTGTGGTTTGCTCCTTCTTTCCTATTAAAAATCTATCGTCTCTTTCTCCCCTCCTTCTTTTTTGTGTTTGTTACTCTCTTGTATCACCTCTAATCTTTGGCACTTATATGACCTTATTGTGTTGCAAGTGCCGTAAAATTCTTACTAAAACTATAATGTTTACTGTGTCCCATTCTTCTTCCGTCCCGTGCCCCCACCCTGACCTCCAGGCTTCCATTGGCTGATAGCCTTTATCTGGATCTCCGTGCGTGGCACCGACTTTGGCAGCAGTTTCTGCGAGAAGTGGTTGTTCCGTGCCGTCTGCGGCTTCATCTACATCTTCGTCTTCCTCAACCTGAACGACGGGAAGTCTCGCTGGCGCGTGTCCACCTACTACACCCTCGTGTTCCTGGAGAACGCGGCCATGGTGGTCGTCTTTTTGACCCTGGGAAACGGCGCTGACTTAATTGTGGTGACCTGTCTCTCCGTGTTTGGTGGTTTTGTCTTAGGTAAGCAAAAATGTTGGCAGTTGGAGACAATAGTTTAGTAGTTGGAGATGATATGTTGGTTGTATAGATAATATTTATGTTGGTTGTTATAGATAATATTTATGTTGGTTGTTATAGTCATTATGTTGGTTGTATTGGAAGATGTGTTTGCGATTCATTGGAGCAGAGGAAGATAGGACTAAAGTTAGCATTACTTAATCACAATCCCACATCACCACTCATCACCACCATTTTTTCTAAAATCATCACTGCTCTCAGATCAATGACTTACATCTATAATCCTGGAATCTCTATCTGTAACAGTTACTTGTCATACTAAGTATGCACGTAATACACTATTGGACACTATCATACACACTTTTTTCTACTAATCAGATGGCGTCAATCTCATATGGATGGACAAGGAATGAATTTTTTAAAACAAAAAAGGAAGATGTGTTTGACGGAACAGTTTTTGTGTCTGTATCTCATCAGATGGTCATTGTTTAAATGAAAAGATTCTGTGAGTCATTAGTTTTACTAAATAGACTACTTGACCATGCTTCACCAAGTCAGTCCATTTTTTTCTTTTAGTAGATTCTGTGTTAAATAGACTGCTATGTTTGTGGTTTGCTCCTTCTTTCCTATCAAAATCTGTTATCCTTATCTCTCCTCCTTCATTTTTTCTGTTTATTCTTTAGCAACCCCTCTAATCTTCGGCACTTACAGGACCTAATTGTGTTGCAAGTGCCTAGAAACACTTATTAAAACTAAAATAACGGTAGTTTAACTGACCAGACAAGTTGACCGTGTCTCCCTCAGGTGTGCTGTGTATGCTGGTCTACTACGGCTTCCTTCACCCGTCCGGCTCTGGCCTCAAGGCCGTCACGTCGCGGGCCCAGCGCTTCAGTTTGTCCACGTCTTCTGTAAGTGTGCGGGTTTTTAAAAAAGTTTTAGTAGATGTTTTACGGCTCTCACAACTGCATACGGTCATATGAGCGCCAAGGGGTGGATGTCAACAGAGTCCTTACAGGGAATCAGACTTACTCTGCTCGCCTTTCTAGCTTCAACAGCGCAAAGTCTGCTTCGACTATCAAGACATCCCGGAAATAGCGGGTCACAAGAGTGTAGCAAACATACAAAAGAAGCAGAGGAAAAATGACGATAGTAAGGATTAGAAAAGAAGAAGCAGCAGTTCCCTGTTGCAGTTCAGGCACTGTTATGAGCATGACATCGATGAATCAGCCCATTTACAATTCTACTGTGCATAAGAACATGTTAATATCCCCCCTTAAGGAATGGCCTAAGGACACTTCAGTCAGTAGCACTGCGCCCGGGGGGGGGGGTATGTAAGTCTGTGTGCATTATAATAATCATGATAATGATAATAATTGCGTCGTGCATGTCTGCACTCTACAGGGTGCTCTATGTTTTTAAAGACTTTTATGACATTAGCAGACACTATAGGAACATTCAGAAACATCCTCATTTTCCCTGGATGCATAAAGTGCAGGCTGCAGATTACATGCACTCAGACACTAGCAAACTGATAAGATCTTTCACTGTCCATTCCCACCTGGGTGAAATGAGGAGAATCTGTGTAAAGTGCCATCCCAAGAACTCAATTTCTGAACCTGACAAGGTTTCAACCCTCAACCTTTCAGTTGCGAGCCCAGCTGCCTAAACACTAGACCATCAAATTAGTGTATTGTAGACAGAAACATTGAATGTATTGTTGTAGACGAAAACGTTGAATGTATTGTTGTTGACGAAAATGTTGAATGTATTGTTGTAGACGAAAGCGTTGAATGTATTGTTGTAGACGAAAACGTTGAATGTATTGTTGTTGACGAAAATTATTGTTGAAGACAAAGACTATGAATATATTCTAGACAACAATATGTGTATTGTAGATTATAACATGTAGATCTATGTTTTAGACCCAAAAAAATAATGTGTATTGTGGACAAAAAATAATTTGTGTCACGACGCAGTAGAAACAGGCGCTCTTCAATTTTTGGACATCTGGAGTTATTGGCATCATCTTAAAGCTTGTTCATTTGACCATCTTGTGGTAAAAAAAAGGCACCCCTGTCTTGAATAGAGGTCGAGATAATTGCGATTGAAGGAGGTCGGAGTGGCCTGGTGTCAGAGGTAAAATTCGCGAGAAAATGGCTGCCAAAGTTTGGTGATTTCTTCCAAAGCTTGATAGTCCTGGGAAACTGAAAATTTACCTTTGTTGTGCCTTTATCAATGATTTCCAATAAAATTCAAAACAGAAATATGTTTTTAAATGGACATAAAAGGTGTTGGGTCAAAAAACAGAAATAAGAAAAAAATAATCCAACTGGAGGAACAATGCCAATATCTTCGATTTAATTTTTTTTGGATGAGCGCTTGATTTCACCATAATGTCTCACATTTGTAACAAAGATAATGTTTGACTTAGTTTGCAGATGAGAATTTTCGTAATCTTTTTTTCATTCCCCTCCCACCCACCCCCCCCCCAATTCGTCTACCAGGGCGGTACTGGTCCCCAAGTGTTCAGCATCGAGTCCCCCCCGACCCCTGCAATGACCTCCAATAACACGGGCGTCGACCTAAGCCTCAACACTACGGGCTCGAACTCCAACTCTGCGGCCCTCACCCAGCAGACATGGCTAACTGACAGGTCGGTGTCGTCCAGTGGGCTGCCTGCCCCCGCGGGTCAGCTGGCTGTACAGATGGCCTGGGCCAGTGGGATGGTCTCCTCCTCGGACAGCTCTTCGGACAGCTCCCTGGCCTCCGCTGGGCTCACCTTGCCAGATGGTCATCCCAAATTGTTGCGCAACGGTTCGCTGGCTTCCGAGAACTCCGGCAGGTCCGCGTCCAGTGAGAATCAACTGCTGCCGCAACCTGTAGTCGTAAAACACAACAACCTAAGTAGGTCACCCAGAAACGTGAAAGAGCATGGTGGTAGCTGTGGCGGTGGTGGTGGTGGTGGGAAAGACCCGGTGGCCCAGTTCTGGGAGAGAGGCGAGGAGATGAGTGGCAGTGACAACGTGACGGTCGCCAGCAACGACATCTTCTCTGGCAACGACGTTTTCTCCAGCCCGTCCCTGAGTCGCAGCTCCTGGGCACGGTCGTCAGACGCTAACCGCGCCTCGCTGGCGGTGGAGTTCACGGTGCTAGGCTTCGACGACTCTTCCTCCTTGGACCACCGGCCCAGCGATAGTTCCACCTACAGCAGCCGGCCCAAGAGCTTGTCTCCCCTCAACGTGTCCGGCCTGTTCCAGGACGTGTCTAGTCGCCTGAGAGCCACCATCGCGGCTACCATCATGGCTGCCACTGCAAACCCCTCGTCCAGTGAGAGCACTCCCAGTAAAAGTAGGTCAACGTCGCGCCGGTCGTCCCTTCCCCCCAGAGCGGAGGAGAGTTTGAGCGTGACAGCCAACAGTTCGGTGAACTTGGCCTCACCCAAACGCGACGCGGCTTTTGTTGAGTCAGCGGGCTCTGGTGGTCGGGGGAAAGGTTTGGAAGTAGGTCAGCTAGTGTCCGATGAGAGAGATGTGGAAGTGGGTCAGATAGTTTCTGTTGGCCGGCAACGGGAAGGTCTGAGTTCGCTCCCCGATATCCTGGAGGCTTTAGACCGCGAGCAGATGTGCGAGTCGGGTGGGGTGGACAGCAGCTACGAGAAGTCGGGTGGTGAGGCTATGGTACAACTCTCCTCGCCAAATCTTTCTTCCCCCGGGACTCTATCCCCCTCTGAGCTGACCGGCGGTCCCTCCAAGACATCCAGCCACCAGCGAGCGGTCCACTCCTACAGCAGTCCACTGATAGAAGACTCCACACTGACCGTCAGCAAGCTGGACAATAACCGGAGGCCAAAACCAACCTCGTATCTCGACGCCACGCGCCACCACAACGCTCAGCCCTACGGCCCAGCTGATCATGTGACTTTGGGCTTCTGGGAGGGAGGAGCACGTGGCGGTGATTTGTACGAGAAGAACGACGACGGGGCAGGGGTGGGGGCAGGGGGGCAGAGTCCGAGGGGAGGTGGAGATTCCCCGTTCTCGGACAAAGAGCTGGTGTCTGTGATGGCAAGGTCTCTTCAAAACTATATGGGCAACAGCCCCTACAAACACTCCAGCGTCCCCGAACGAGAGGGCTTGGCCTTGACCCTGGATGACCTAAGGATAAGCCGTGAGCCTACCCCTGACAAAAGTGGGTCAACGACCGACCGGTGTGCGGAAATAGAGAGGAGCCGTAGCGCGTCCTCGTTATTCCACGACAGCACAGAGTCCTCACCGGCCAGTTCGGCTTCCAAGATGAACCAAGCTCTGGCCACCGGTCAGCCAGACACAAACCTGTCGCCCAACGCTCTCAAACAGCTGGACACACAGCAGCAGAGCTGCCTCCTTTTGGACCATCTTCGACCCACCTCGGAGTCGAGCGAGAAGAGTCGAGTGTCGGTCCCAGCCAGCCAGGCCTTGAAGGTCATCATGGACTCGTACGGACAGCTTGTCGCCAGCCCGGTCCTCGCCCGCCCCGCGCGGGGGAAGCTTACTGCTGACCACATGACCTCCCCTCATAGCCGTGAACGTCCCCAAAGAAACCCAAGCACTGCTCCAGCTAACCTCGCGTCTCAAAGTCCGACAACTCAAAAGCACCGACAAGGGAGGACTCGAACCCACCCCAACGGCTCTGTGGTGCAAGTGCTCTCACCCCAGAGTTCTCCCGCGGACACAAACGGTCGTGGCGCTGACAGTCTCCACGCTTTGTCCGCGTGTGTAAGTGGCGGGCCGGACCCCCACAACAGCGCCTCCTGGCGCGGGGCGCGGCTGTCGCTCCGAGACTTGGAGCCCGCAGAGGTCGCTACAGAGATTGCGGAGGTTGCTACAGAGGTCGCGGAGAAGAAGAGACAAGTGCGGAGTGGGCGCTCGGTGACTCAGAAGCTCAACGTTCACCACAAGCATTTTCCTGTGCCAGAGCTCGCCGACTCCCCACACAGGCGTGCACTGCTGTCTGCTGGCGGACAGGAAGTGGACCAAGAATCAAGGTTAGACAGAGAAGGGTATGTGGCTGGCAAATATCAGCCGCCACTTTGTTTGGACGTCAGAGACTCTGCTCTGAACGACTCCATTGAGAGAAATTTGAACCACAAGCGGTATTCTCAAGACTGGAGTAAACGAGACAAGTTGATATTTGAGAGTTTGTCGGGGGGGGGAGGAGGGAGTAAGAGCCGGGGTTTGTCGGTTGGGGGAGGGGGGAGTAAGAGCCGGGGTCCGGCGAGGAATGATGAGCTAGAGATGGCCTACTTAAACAGCCTGCGGGCAGAAATCCTCAAGAGAGAAGCACGACTACAGAAGCGCAGGGCCGACTCCTTCAGTGTCCGAACTCAGGACCCTCCGCGCACACATCAATCTCCGGGCTACCAACCCGCCAAACCACAAACAAATGTGAAATATTCCTCCCCACAAAGTGAGTCTCATCTAAAGAATGTCAGATCACAGAAAAATATTCCAGACCGTGACGCTGCGCAACTTTC